GCACAGGCGACCACTGGGGACAGATCACGGCAGTGGGCTGCCCGTAACCTGTGGGGACCATTGTGGTAGTGGACCCCTGGGGCAGTAGCAAAGGGTCACAGTGGTGCTGGGATGATGGCCAGAGGCTCTGCCCAGCCCCACTGTGGGGGGACCCCAAGGCCGCAGCACATCCTCACACTCGGGCCCTCAGCTTGGACTTGCTTTTGCTCCCAAAGTGCTGGTGATTCCTGGCCACAGTGTTGACTTTGCTTTCCTCATGCCTCCCAGCCCCTCTGCTCCCCGCTGGTGTCACCGAGAGTAGAGGAGCCTCCTGGCGCCGTGCTCAGCCTGTCATACAGACAGCCCTGGGTCTCTGCACAGCACCGCCTGCTCGCTGTGGCTCGCTGACTGCCATGGCATGCGGCAGGATCTGCTGAGCAGCGCTGGACCCTGTTCTCCCCTCAAGCTCCTGCACAGGGTTGATTTTTGAGGGTTTTTTTGGCAGCTCAGGGGTGCCCCAGAGCTCTGGCAGGGCTGAGAGAGCCTCAGTGCTGCCATAGGTCTTGGGAGCACACAAGGAGTGTGAAGTCCTCTTGCAGCATCAAACCTAGCAAGAAAGTTTCCTCCAAGTAGATACTCCATTTATGGACATCATAAGCCAGAGCCATGGGCAGTATGGGAGCAGGACTGAGCTCCCATGCTGTGACTGCTCTGGATTGACCCAATATCACAGCCCAGAGGAGGAATGGGGCTGGCTCTGCATGGGAGACCATGACCCTGCAGCTCCCAACCAGCCACGACATCAGCAACCCACTGGGAAATGCCTGGAGGGCTGCATGCAGGGGAGGGACAAAGGCAAGGCTATTCTTCAGCATCTGAGCAGAGAAAAGGTTCTGTCCCTCTCCAAGCCCCTTCCAAGGAAAGCTGGTGTCACCTTCTTCCTAGGGACTACAGAGATCCTGGGGGAGGGGTTGCTTGCACAAGATGCGCCCACACACTGAGGACAGAGCCAGGTGGAGGTGGACAGCTCTTCCACTGGGGACATGGGTTGTCTCCACCAGAATGCTACCCAGGTCGCATTGGTAATGTCTTCCAGAGTTACTTTCTTTGGGCTGAGCACACGTGACATCAGCGCAGACAGCAGCACCAAGCCTGGCACAACTGCGGAGTGCCCTGAGCCTACACCAGAGCCCCTGGGGACACAGGGGATGCCCACCAGCTAATGACCATTAGCACCACTAGAGAATGGGTTGGCTTACGTGTGCCAAGTGGCAGCCCAGCTTCCAACTTCTAAATAACCCCCAAAGCTAGCACAGCTGGGCTGAAGTCTTTATTTAAAAATTGAAAACACACAACATATTATACAATGAAAAAAACCTGCATTGGAAACCAGCCGTGCCCATTACCCTCTGCAAGCCAGAGGCTGGCTATGAGCCATCTGCTGCTGCGGGAACTGCTTGTGTCGAGGTTCATTCACCCCGACGTTTGGGAAAGTTACAAAAAGAAAGACGAGGAAAAGTCATTTCAGTTTGAGAGCGGTATCGCATTTCACCAAGATTCGGCTGAATCCCTCCATCCCTCCTCCCAGCCCAGCTTGGTCACAGCCTGGAAACCTGAGGTAGTTGGGGGTTACCTGCACAGGCGAGACCCCAGAAACAGGTGGGCAGGGTTTTCAGGACCACCCAAGTCTCCTTGTGTCCTGCAGCAATGGGATTGTTCATATTGCTTTTGGAGATGCCAGGAGGCCAGAGTTGCCTTAGCTCTGGTCCTGCGTGGGCTCTGGGGGGCCGGCGCGCCGGGATGCGGAGCCCACGCAGGTCAGGGCTCTGGTGAGTGGTGTACGTGATACAGCTACACTGGAACTTGGGGGCAGTGAAAGCCCAGGGTAGGAAGCCCTGCGTTGCTTCAAGAGGTGGCGAGGGGTCCCCAGGCAGGGCGGAGGTGCAGGGCAGGCGGTTTGGCAGTAGCTGCTGCAGAGGCACCCAGGGCTGGCTGTAGGATGTGGGGGGCACCATTCGGGTGGGTTTGACGGCGCGGCCCGGCAGCCGTAGGGCGCCGTGATGCCATTTCCCAGGGGGTGGTGAGTGGGCTGGCCCGGAGGGGATGTGCCAGGATGGCTAGGCAGGGGGAGGCAGGTGGACCTTCCCGGTACAAGTACCAGCCAGCAAAGAGAGCTGGCGTGGCTGACATGTCACCGAAAGGACGGCACTTGTGAGAGGTAGCAGCCTCTACCCTAAGTCCAGCACCCCCAGGTGACTGGTGCTGAGACTATCCCTCCAGCCCCCTCCAGGAAGCCCGTTCAGTCCTCGGACAAGCAGCGCAAAGCATTGCCACTGCCTCCTAAAGGGAGAAGGGCCAAATCCTGCATGCCTAGCACCTGCTCAGGATCTGGCCCTGCTGTCTTGAGCCCCAGAACCAGCAGCTTTCCAAAGCTGGCTCAGGGAGCGCACAGGCAGCGATGCCGTTGGGCTGGGAACAGAGAGCCTCGGCTGCACCAAGGGAGCTGGACGTGCTCTCCAGCTCGGCTGCAGGCATGTCCCAGCCAAACAACCTCGATGCTGGCAGGATGGAAGCGGGCGAGCAGAGGGTGGCCGCGTGGGAAAATAACATTGCTGCGTATTGCTGCGTGCTGGTCTGACACCACCGTCCCCACAGTGGGGGCTCTGCAGGGAGAAGGCGACCCTGCTGCAAGACGAGCCAGGGGGCCCGGAGGGGTGGGAGCCAGCAGACATCCCCCAGCCCTCAGCGCCCCTTGCTCCAAGGCACAAAGGTTCCCCAGCCTGGGCTGTACATCCAGCACCTGCCCCGACGGCCACCCTTGCCCTGGGAACGGCGCACAGCGCCTGGGGTGCTGGGGACATGAACACTGCTGCTCCTCCCTGCACCCAAGGTGGTGGTGAGGACGTGGGGGGGGGGGCCCCCAGCCCCTCTGTGCTGCTGCCCCATAGCCACTCCATGCCCTTGGGAGCTGCTGGCCTGCGGCTAATGCTTGCACAGTGGCTCCAGTGGTAGCTTGGGAGCAGATGTTGCCCAAGCCTGAGCCAAGCACCTTGTAGAGTGGTTTATTGCTGGCATTAACACAGTGATCTGTTAGGGCAGGACAGCACAAGGCAACGCTGCTCGAGGACCCCCAGGCCACAGGCTCCGGGCTAGCCGGCCCATCTCTTCCACTCCAAGCATTGCTACTGAGAGGGCACTTTTGGGACAAGGGGCCAGGAGCTCATCACAACCTTTCTCCTGCTGCCAACCCAAGTACCTCCTCATTGCTGGATGTTCCCCGTCTGGCCACTGCCTCCCGGCACTCGGGACCATGGGACAGGCCAGCTAACATGGCCCTGCCCCAGCCACCCACTGGGCCTGCAAGCTCTGCAGACACTGGGCTCGTAGGAGGCAGTAGCTCCTACTGGCCGGGGCTTAGCATCCCAGGCTGCTGGAGATGATGTGTCACGTGCGAATGAGCTCCTGACCCCGCAGCCACATAGGATTCTGGCTCTTATAGCAGCCAAAGGCACGCGTAGTGCCCCCGCCGGCAGGCTCACGCACCACCCCGACTCTGCTGCTCCCAGCAGCCGAGTGGGAGTGGGGGCTGCGTGGGGCCGGGGGAGCACACCTAGCACCAAGCCCAGAGGTGGCCCAGCAGCACCAGGAGAGCCAATTCCTGACCCTGCTGCATCTCCATGCCGCTGGGCCCATGGCCCTTTGCACCACGGCAGGCTGCTGGTGGGGTGTTTGCGCTGAGCCAGTTAACGCGTTAAGGCTGGAGAAGCAGCAAGAGGCAAAGGAAACCCTAATGCTCTCAGTCAGCCAGACCTGGGCCAAACAGTTCAGAGAATCTGTGCAAAAACGAAACTAAAGGGTTAGAGACCACCCCAGAGACCCCCAAGCAGCTCTAATAAATACACGTGCAGTTTGCGGCTGGCGTGAGGCAGGGCGGCTGGGGAGCCCTTACTCCTGGCCCCGGGGCCTCCTCCAGTGGCGATGCAGCTCTCGGTCCTGCGGCGCTGGAGGTGGCTCTTGGGGAATGCAGAGGACATGTGCTTCGGGGCGGATTTTGCACCAGTTTATTGTGTATCTTCTGAAAGGACTGCTCCAAGCTGGGTCCCAGTCAACCGAAGGGGCATCTGTGGATGGCTGCTTCTGGCACAGGGAGCTAATCTGCAGCTGGAGAGAGGAGAGATGGTGAGCGGGCACGGAGCAACACACCCCTTCAAGCATCCCTCTGCCTCCCCCGACCTCCAGGGGCTGTATGGCGTGCCTCAAGGGCAGTGGAGCCCTGGCGGTGCACGAGTGCGCTGGGGTCAGCTGTCAGCAGAGGCCTGGGGCTGAGCCGCAGTGCGGGCAGGAGGACCCAGAAGAGCAGCGAGGCTCCTAGGAGAGGTGGCAGTGGGTGCAGACGTGGGCTGCTGGAGCTGTCCACAAGCTCCTGCACATGCCAGAGTCCCCACAGGGCTTTGGCCATGTGTGCTGTCGATTCCTAGGCTCCTGAAGCTCTGCTTGGGCTAGCTGGAGTGAGACCCGTGCCTGCTAAGTGCCTGCCTTCATTTGCTGTGCAGGCCTCAGCAGAGGCATCAGCGCAGGACTGTGCAGCCAGGGTTCCCCACCTGCCCCACTCCTTCCCCAAGCGGCTTCCCAGAAGGAGCAGGAGGGATAAGAGACAGCGGACGCAGGCAGAACAGCTGCTGCCACTCCCACGGCCGTTGGTGCAGTTGGTGCCAACCAGCTCAGACGGGCATCCAGGGCACCCCAGGCTGCAGGCTTCCTGCGGTGCCCAACCTTCTGCATGCAGGGCACTTACCATCCTCCTCCCAGCCCTCTGCCACTCCTGCCAGCTCATAATGCTTCTTGCGGAGCTCCCCCAGCTTCTGCCGCTCTTTCTGCAGCTGGTTTTCCAGCTCCAGCACACGCACCTGAAGGATAAAGCGCACTCTGCTACCGCCCTCCTGCGTCCCGGGGCACCGACCGCTGCCGGCGACACAGCCAGCTCAGCCACCTGCACGCTCCAGGAGTTCCTCCTGCAACCTGGCCCCCCAAAACTAGCTGTGCCTGTGCACAGAGATGTGTCAGGCTGAGCACACCTGCAGCCTTCCTGATATTAAACCCAAAGTTTCCCCCATAGCACATCCAATTAATGCTCTAATGGCAGATGGTCCTGGAGAAGGGACAGAGCACAGATGTGCCTAAGGCCAGGTGTTGCCTGAGCCCGGAGGGCTGTGACTCGGAAATGCATGGAGATCCTGCAAGGAAGGGACAAAAAAGGAGGTGTCAGGGCTGCCTGGTACTAAATGGAGGCAGGTGCTGTGGGGCAGCACGACAGGGAAGGGGCAGAGGGAGGCCAGAACCGCGCTGGGCTATTGCACTGCAACGGGCACAGCAGCTCCCATAGTCAGGGAACGCTCGGGGAACAACTGCACATAACTTCTGGGCAAGCCCAGGCCACAGCCAGGCTTTTGCCTTCATGTCCTGTGCTTTTCTCACAAGACAGCAGTACCCTGGGGGCCAGGCATGCTCCATGCCCACGTGGTCTGCATGGCCAGCAGATGAGCAGCACAGGGCATGGTGCCCCCAGCCACTGCGTTTGGGGAAAGAGATCCACTGTGAGCGCACAGATCTCCCCTTTCTCGCGAACGGGTGGCAATCTGTCAGCCCGCAGCCGCTGCATTACCTGTCCCTGCCAGAGCCTGCCTGGGGACTCCCTCAATAGCCCAAACGTGCCAGAAACAACAGCAGATGGGTATCCAAAAGCAGAGAGAAACCTCCTACCTGAGAGTCCATTTCTTGACGCTTGATCTGGGTTAGTGTCATGCTGGAGAAGTCCATACTGTCTGCAGGGAAAGAAGACACACCCTCCCCATCAGGCTCGGTCCCCAGCTTCACGTCCCCTCCCCGGCTCCACCAGCTCCCAGACAGTGGACAGAGTTCATGGCCAGCGGGAACACAGGCAGAGTGTGGCAGCCGCAGGCAGAAACCACCACGCACATGGAGATGACCAGCTGAATGCAGCACAAAGAGCAGGGACCTCTGCACAGGTCTGTGCTCCTAGAGAGGGCTTGTGGGCCCCACGCTTACCTTTCTCCTCAATTTGTGACTTCCCTGACTTGGTGGAGGCCACCACGCCAGCCGTGGCCTGATTGACACCCCGAGAGGCTTGCTGGAGCTTGGACAGGTTGGCGCTGTCTTTGTCGGCTTTCACCTGCCAGGGCAGAGAGAAGGGGTGCGGTTGCTCTCCGGGAGGTACATCGGGCAAGGGAGAGGACCTGCCAAACCAGCTTGCAGCCCTGCTGTGCCTTCACGTCACCCCGGCCCTGGCCAGTCCTGCTGGGAGCCCCCAAACCACGGCCAGGAAAGCAGCATGCATGTTCCCCCAGGCAACACCGGCAGATAGGGGGACGTCCTGCTCCTGCCTGCTTGAGGCCGGAGCTGCTGCATCTGCTGGAGCAAAGCCATGGGCAGCGCCGTGCACCTGTGATGAGCTTGCAGGGCTGGGGACCAGCCTCTGCTGCAGCACTGGACACAGCTGCATCTCCGCAAGGACGCGGTCGTGGAGATGGTGGCGCTCAAGGGAGCAGCCAAGCCATGCGAACGGCCACCTCCAGCCCTGGGCAGCAGAGCGGGGAACCTCCTGGGTGCATTTGCATCGGGCACCGTGCAGGGCTCCTACCTTGGAGGCTGCCACCAGTTGTGCGGTGCTGGCTGCGATCTCGTGGGAACACACCATGAGCTCCTCGAATTTCCCCTTCCCTTGTACCACCAGGTCAGCAGCATCACTATGGGAGGGCAGAGAGAGAGGCTGCGGCCTCCTTCAAGCAGGCCCCATCCAGGCCTGGACGCACATGCCCCCCTGCCGTTTCCAGGGGCTGCTCGTCTCTCGCTCTTCCTCTGTCTGCTGAGCCCTCCCCTTGGGGACAGCAGGACCCTGACACCCTCCACCAGTCATGGCGGCACTTACACCATGACGGTTGCTCCCCAGCCCACGGCCTTGGACGCGGAGATGAGACCCTCTGTCCAGCGGGAATTCTTGGCATAAAACTCCTTGGGGGATGCTGCACCCTGCGGATTAGCAGAGGAGAAAGACGCATGTTCACGTGCTAGAGAAAGAGGGACCGACCCCACCCCAGAGGTGGGCTAGCTGGGGCAACAGGGCTCTGCTCTTAGGGAAATGGAACAATTCAGGAAGTGGTTCAGGATGCATGCGGAAAGCTGGGCAGACACCCGGACCCTGGATGTCACAGGCTCCCCTGAGCAGTGTGAGGGGCTGCAGGAAGGCTGCTCAAACCCTCCAGGGCATGCAGAGGTCAGCAAGCTCTGCAACGTGCCAGGTGCTGCCAGAAAGGGGAAGACCCTGGAGCCCTCACAGGAGATCCTGGCAGTGAGTGTTGATCCTGAGAGCTGTTCTGGCTGGTAGCCTGGACCTCTGCCTTCCTGCGACAGGGGCCAGAGCTCGGAGCAGCACAGCCTCAGGAGGCCCACGGCTCACACAGGGATGCCAGACTGGGCAGACACCCATGATGTCAGGGCTGGGGTTGCTGGCGGTTGCGGTCCCCGGGCAGGGCTCAGCTCCCTACCCACAGGGCGCTGGGCCTGCTCACCCGTCCGCTCTCCACAATCTCTCTCTGGAGGTCCTTGGATGACAGAACCAGCACTTGGATAGCCTGCATGAGACCAGTGCAGGACCCCAGGATCCTGCAAGACAAAATCCATGGAGCCATGGGGAGGCCTGCACCTGTTTAAAACCCCAGAGTGTCCCTGCGGCAGGGAGACAAGCAAGACGACCCCAACACCTTGGGGTAAAGGCTCCCCCAGCCAGTGCCAAGGGCAGTGGGCTCAGTTCTCTGGGTAGGCCTGGCTGACGTCGCTCCCAGGGTCACTCCTCCATCCCCCAAATCCTTCCTCTTCCTCTCTCAGTGCCTGGATATAAACCAGTGTCTTAAACTATGACCCGTGGGGCCCTGGCCAGCGCTCACCTCTCATTCACTTCCAGTTTGACGCCAGTGTCGCCAGCCCGGGCTTTGCTCAGCATCTCCTGATATAAGGGGGAAAAGCCACACTGAGTTGCACGTGCTGCCTGCCACCAGCCCCACCAAAGGGCTCCTTCCCATGCCCATCGCTGCCAGCGGTGCCACTTGCACCGGTGGGCAGGCAGCGTGTTCCAGCTGGATGCCGGCCCACTGCTGGCCCAGCTCTGCCTCCTGTTTTGCAGCAGCTAGAAATGTTGCTCGGACCACGGTGGGTTTCAGAGATTTTGGGCTTTCATCTGCCTGCAGTACCCACAGCCTCCGGAACAGCCAGTGCGGGCTTGGGACTCGCAGCAACCCCGCAGGGCAGCGCCAGCAGTGCCAGCTCACCTCGATCCTGGCAGCTGCAGTTTCTATGGCTGCCGAAGTAGCCGCCATCTCCTTGTCCACCAGATCGCCCAGCTCCTCCTGCTCGACATCCAGCCCTTTGGGTCGCAGCTCCTGGCACCAGGACACAAGGGAGCGTCTGGAGGTGGCAGACCACCAGTACAACCCCTTCCACCGGTTCCCCCCAGCCCCGGGGACAGGGCCCA